AAAGACTCAGTTTACCCGGCCGGAACCGCTAGAGTTCTGCGTGAGGTTTAAGGACGAACCAATAACCATAACGAAAAAGTTTTTTTTGATAAAAAAAAAAAAATTATTGTTGTAAAAAAAGTAAATTATAAATTATAAATGTGTGAGAAAGTTACGATTGTTTACATTGTCGATCATCGCTATCTACCAATAAGATTTCAGAACATATCTGATATTTTTTTTTTTTTAATTGAACCGGTTTAGATATTATCGGCGGTTATTAGAAGCTTTTGTATATAATACGTAGAATTTTAGCGGATAAAGGAAAAATTTGGTTGAAAATAATGATAATAAACATTACAATACAGTTATCGCGTTTAATGTTTAGCTTCATGTGTATATAATTTGGACCAATCACAATCGCATAATTTGACCTTATTTCACGTACAAAGAAAACTCAATAAACCGAAGTTTGTCATAGAGTAAATAAGCTAATTAAAACGTGTAAACCGAATTTTTACTAATTCCCCCCGGACCTATTCGGCTTATCGTGTTGCTTTGTATTTCTGAAGTCCCTACACGTAGGAAATGATGGCCACGCATGATGATAAGAATGTGAATCAGATAAAAGATGTCAATTTGTTTCAAATATGAGAATGATTTCGAGTGTGGAAATGTGATCCTTGATAACACGTCAAAAGCACGCGGTAAGTATAGACTCTAACAAGAATAATCTAGACTAAGTGAAAACATAATTATGATATTTCCTCGAAGGTAATTAATATCATGCGCAGATAAAAAATATAGCGAATGCAATATTAATGAAAAAATCTTAAAAAAAAGTTTCAAATGCTTTATTCCTATAAGGTGTTGAATTATGAGAATGCATATTCTTGTGATGAAAAATTTAGTGCTATAAAAGTGCTACTATCCCTAATAATAAGTAACAATAAGTCTTTTTTGAGACCTAAATCTCTAAATGCGATTCTTCGTTTATTCATGTTTGAATTGTTAAAGATTTTTAAACAAAATTCCAATAAATATTAAAAAGTTCGTGGGAATTTAAACTTTTTTTTTTCTGAAATGGAAATAAAAATAGTGCTAATTTAGGTCGGAGGTGTTGTTGATACTTTAAGGTTTGGGGTGGAGATATTATTATTATTATTATTATTATTGTCCACACCTATATTTAAAGGTGTTGCCTCTACAAACTCTTGTGACTTTGGCCTGACAACCTCTAACGAATCATCCTTCACATTAATAGACACCCGACCATTCTCAACACTTTCAGCCATCGCTTGTATGGTAGATGATATGAATTTTAACCTTTCTTCAGGTGATAGAAGTGGGAGCACGAAATTACTTACATCGGCCTCTGAATCTTCAGCAAGTTTATTAATTAAGTAAATTATATTTGAAGGACGAGTTGTCGGGTCTTGATAAAATTGCTCTGAGGTTAAATAAAAATGTACATATAAATTCAATATGGTATTGAAATTTGTGACTCAATATTAACAAAATTTAACAAGACATATTGAAAACTTACCTAGTTGGCAAAGTTCCCCAACAAGTCTCCCTAATGCAATCCTAACATTTACCACGTTATCTGACGAAAGTTTTTCCAAACCATGTAAAAAATATTTTTCAAAATCTGCTTTTGAAAATTCTGTGGAAATGAGAGCACTACATATTTGTACATAACTGATAAAGCAAAAAAAAAAAGCTTATGGAGATCAATTATATTTATACACATATCTATAAAAGATAAAAATATTATATCTTACACCACTCTGCCTCGAAATCCGGTATCAGAAACAAAATCACACACATAATTGATCATCTTATGAAGACATGATTTATCGTTGCGTACAGCTTCAAAAAGAGTCGGAAACTAACAAGAAATAAAACTTTGAGTAATAATATATATATATAAAATGTACGAATTTCTCGATTTACTTACACTAGCAACCGCAGTTTCTCTCACATTAGCTACTTCATCTTTAATTGCACGTATCGTCAACGGTAATATATGATTTAATACGCATTGTCCGTCAAATAATTGACATAATGCAGGTATTTGCCTGAACAAATTGTAAATACATAAGATTATAATGTTGAATAAATTATCAGAGAATCAAAAATGTATTGGTGTTAGCAATACTTAGTGATCTCATCTCTCAGCCGCCAATGATGTTTAACGCCATCCCAAACATCATTTAACGATGGCAAATAATTGTTGCGGGTGGATTGTGGTAAACATTCGATAAAAGCTGCAAGATGCTCTATAATTCCAGACTTAACGTCGTCAATATCATCCAAATAATATGTAAAAACATGAAGTAAATCGCTTTCTGTTTTCGTTGGGCCAATGACTTTTGCTATCTCGTGAAGCGAACAAGCTAAAGATCTTCGTACTTTAATCTTGGTAACATATCACGTTTGAAGTAAGTATCATGAATAATAAAATTTATAAATTAATCAAATAAAATCAAAATTAACCTGCATATCTCGAGTCAAGGAAATATAAGTATCTTTTAAATCATCCCAACGACTTTCCCCCAATGTCAAAACGATAGCTAATATTTAAGGATTAATAAATGTTTAAGATTCAATAACAACTTAATCTATGTGATTTTAATCATTCTCACCGGGAAAATTAAATGCACATATAACCGGACGCTCCGGATCCTTCTGTCCAATATTACCATTATATGTACTACCAGTAACACCGTTACCAATATTGCTTTCCCTAACAGGTCCAAGGCTTAAAAAATGTTGTATTAAACTTTCAGGAACTTTGCCATTAGGTTGAAAAGTAGCAATTAATTCCCCGATAATTTCACCAGCCGCAGAACGTACACTACGACTAACATCACCAGCAAATAATTCAATTCCTTTCACAGCTCGATCCGATTTCATTTCTTCAGGAAGTTTTGAGCATAATGTCGGTAGGACTAAGCAGCAAGACCGACGTACATGCCATATAGTGTCGGTTGAGAAATGGTCGTATATAGGCAACTTTTGATATCATTGTTTGCTCAATATAATAAATTTAATAATGCTTCAAACCAAGTATGAAAGAAATGGCTTTTTATTTACCAATTTTGAGGTTATTATATTCAAAGGTAATACACTAGCTAAACTCCCAATTGCTAAGGCCGCTTCCTAGTACAAATGAAAGCTTTAGCTTCAATTATAAGTTTTAATCCAGTAAGAAAAATAAAATAAAAACCAGATAACCAACCTTCCGTACATAGAATACAGGTTCTTCTATCATTTTGTCCAATTCAGGTATAAATAAGCGGATACACCTTTCTGGACCAACGATTGGCGCTAAAGATGATATCAACTAAAAATATAAAAACGATTACAGATCAAGTATTAAGAAATAGAAATAATAAATGAAATTCAGAAACTTACCGACATCATTGTCATTCGGCCCAGTTCAACTTCTTCTTCAATACCAGTAACAGCACCAACACTTGCATCGTCACCATCTTCCAATTCATTTAATTCCTCTCTTTTTGCTTTCTCTTGATCAAGACGACCTATTCCTAAAACAACACCCTCTAAAGTTTCTCTTTCTAGTAATTCCTTTTCCTTATAATTAATATCTGGTTCCTCTAGTATTCTCTCAACTAAAGATTGTATAGCATTTTGAGCTGCTTGCGCAATACCAGTATTTTGATCAAGAAGCAATGCATGAAGTAGAGGGGTAAAAGCAGCTGGTGAAAGATATGGCATATGGTTAGTCGGAGTTGGTGGTTGTGATGGAAATGATTGTTGAATCGGAGTTTGTGGCCTCTGAGGTGTTGAGGGTCTTTGGGGTGTTTGAGGTCTTTGTGGGGTCAAAGGTCTTGGTGTTAAAGCATTATCAATCAGAATATTATCTATCGTATCTCTTAGTGGGCAATGCTGTGTCAGATGATATAATTTTTCCAGAAAGTTAAAAAGTAGGAAAAAAATTTTTCAGAATATTAAAACTTTTAAAACCTGTATGTTAACTTACTGAATAATAAAACCATATGATTTTATCCAATTCAGGAGTAAATGCTTCGCGTACATGATCCTCTGAACGCAATAATATTAATTGTCAATTGATATAATTAGTTCAAAGTGATAAATAAAAGATTAAAAAAAAAAAAACTCACCAGGATCTGTTCCTAATGAATTCATCAAAGGCAGTACATATTCAACAGCCTCGTTGATTTCCACGTCTTTTATCAGTGATGGCAGTTCCTTTGCAATGAACACTCTCATAAAGAAAAAATATACAGTTATTTATATATCAATGTATTGATATGTTAGTATGAATTGAAAGATAAAAGTTTATATTATATCTAATAACGTATTAATGTTTACCTATGAAATACCAAATCGCTCTTCACATATAGGAATATTTTCTCGAGAGGCGATAAAGTATCATCTAATAAAAGTTCTTCGTCCTCTATCTCTTCGGAGGGGACTTCTGAAAAATGATCTACGAAAAAAAAAATAATAATAAACTATGACTGATACTCATGTCACAGCTTTTTTATGGACTGCGAAGGATCGCGTGAGAAGTTATGCTAATTGAAACGTCAAATCGACTTTTTTAAACCGACGGTAATATTTTGTAGGTTTTCCTGGTACTCTACATTTTAAAGCAGCAGGACAAACTATTGAACAAAGGTGAAATAAAAGTGCCACGTGTACATACCAGAAGAATTCTCAGCCATCGCGGCTAATAGTTCCTCGGTGTCTAAGTCACCTCCATCCTCGAGATCTTCTTCCCTTTCCTGAAGGGTTTGGTCTGAATTTTCTAAGCCAAGGTCTAAAAACGAGGAGGACTTCTGTTATTCGGAGCATTTTGTAAAAGTCAAGTAAAAATAATATTTAGATTGGGGTTTCTCACCCGACATGACACGAAATCTTAAAACGTTTAAAAGAAATCGTTGGACCGTTCTCGAAAAAAATACGAGTTATAATTTTAAAAAGCCCAGAAGAACAAGTGAGTGCTAGTGATTTAACAATTTTGGAAAAATGTGACACTTTGATTCCAAAGTAGTCCCAAAGTAGATTAAATTCTATGTCAACTGTCGCACACTCGTCACGCTACTATTCCGTAGTGTTCAATAATTTATTTTTATTCATTAATTGTATAATTGTGTAGTTTCGAATTGCCCTCAAAAAATATCATGCGACAATGAAAGGATGCATTGTTGTCCAGCCACAAAGCGGACAATTAAATTGACAAACACGAATATTATATGTCAGTAATACTACTATGTTCATGTTTATCTTTTGATGACTTTACATTTATCTGAGTTTTAGCACCAACTATGCCCAAACCCACACCCAACTCATTTTTCTGCCTTAATCCGCTACGAAGTCGCCACATCAATCCTCCGAGTCCACCAAAACCTTGATATAGTACTGCTTTACGACTTGGTGCAGGCACTATATGGTTTACATGATGTTCAGTCACTAGTCCATTTTTAGAACCAAATTTATATACAAAAATACCAGAGAAGGATGATCGTGGAATTTGAGTGCTACGTGAAGATAACATTGAAGCAATATAAGAAGATCGGGGAGTTCCTTCAAGCTCCCAACGAATGTAAAGTCGAATATTTCTATTAGAAGATTGTATAGCAGAGGTGGAAAAGGATAATAATGGTACTGTATGGACACGAGTGAGATTTTTATCCCGATCTTTATGTTGCATCCTGTTTAATTTATCATTTGAATCTTTGAAGTGAGTGTCGCAATTAGTGTCTTTGAACAAGATATCCCTCCCAGTCCCATTTTTATCTTCCATATTATTATCGGCTACATGAATCTTTACTATTTCAAGTGTCAAATCGTCAAAATACCAAATTAAACTCCACCTTAACAAATTAGCGATTCCAAAATACACGTGCTTTCCACGTACATGTAGGCCCGTATGATAAGGATCAGATAAGAGGATATCCTGAGAATATATTGACGTGTCTGTAAGACCACGTTCGAAAAATGTTGAAAGATCTGATCGTATTGTGCGTATTGCTGCAAATAAATATAAGGTAGTTGAGGTTTTTTCTATATGAAGTTATTAGTAATAATAAATCGTGTCATACCTTTACCAACGTTTAAAGTATATTCGTCGGCTCCTTTTGGTTCTTGTTCAGACCAATCTTGAACATGAGAATTTCCTTGAAACCATTGTTGTGTTGTAGTAAAAAATGAACTTTTAACGAACTCATTAGAATTATTGCTTTGTAAATCTGAAAAAGGAATGTTTTGTGCACTTGACGAGTAGATAGCTATTTTTCCTATTGAAAAATTCGAAAGGAATGTCATGGAAACTTTACGCGAGAGTTTACTAAAGATCGCGCGTACGTTTACAACCATGGCCTTATGATATGGCAAAAAAAAAAACAAGAAAACGAGATTACTTATATACTGCATAAATACTGTATCACGTAGTTCAAGATTATTTAAAAAACAAAAAATATGTTGACTTTCTGTATTGCGTTGCACGGAATGCCGCAGAAACAGGACCGATGATTTTCTGCCAACAGTTCAAAATGTTTTGCTAGCAAAACTTGGGTAGAGGTGCGGAGGTCAAGGGTAGCTACCCTCCTACGTCATATAAAATTTGGGTAGCTACCCAGTTACTAGTACCCTAGCCATGGCGACAACTAAAAGGAGATTCTACTCGAACCGCATGATGATTCACAAGATTCTGCCAATCAGCGTTAACTATAGTTAATCGTGTAAAATATTTTTTAATTATATTACAAACGTTGGTTTTTTAGATCTTCTGTCGTTTTACAGTTCGCTTTTACGTCGTTTTTCAGTGGACCTTTTCATCTTGGTTATTTTGATAGATCTTTTTGTTGATTTTTCGACGTTTACTAGTTTTTTCTTTTTGATGTTTATTTCTTTTGGCAATAAACTAACTTAAATATTAAAAAAAAAAAACTTGTTTAGTAATAGGTGTTAAATAAGGTCAAGTACTAATTTTTTTTTTTTTTTTAACTTAGGTGATCTTGCCTTTCATTTTATTAAGAGAATTATTTTATAGATATTTAGATAAATACAAAAAATTAAAACTATTTTAATTTTAAAACTGTTTTCTTTATTACAATTTCAAATTTATTTAGCTATCTATTTAGTGCTTAAATGTGATTTGCTGCAGCAGTATTTTTTCTTCTGTAATTAGGCATATAAATAAATATACTATCTAATTATAATTAATAGAAGGTTACTATTAGTCTATATCAAGATGTCTTATTTATTTTTAAATTTTAATTACTTTTTTTACTTACTACTTTTAATTTAATCTTAAATTTAGTTACCTGACTTTTTTAAGATTTTTTCTTTTTTCTGATTTGTAGTTTTTTTTGTGAGTGATTTTGGAATTATATTATTTTCTTTATTTGGAGTATCCTTTTTTTGTTACTTTTTTTTTATTTTTTTTATTTTTAGAAAGATATTTTTTTCTTTTTTCTAAGTGATCATGATTTCATAATAAAATTTTTATAATTTTTTGTAGAAGTTTGTTTAAAAAAGATTCAAAAACCAACATATTGTTTAGTTAGCTTTAGAGATTAAGCCTAAGATTTCTTTAATTTCATTAGTTAGACTTTTGTTTATAAGATCTCAAATATAGTTTTCTTTTTTTGAGAATATTTATTAGTTCTAATTCTAGAATTATTTTTTTTTAAACTAGTATCTGTAATAAAAATATTCTATTCTTTTAAGATTTTAAGATCTAGCTTCTTTATAACTACTTCTTTAATATGTATCTATATTCTTTTATAAATTTTGCACTCAGTTAAATGACTAAATATTTCTTTTGTTCTAAAGTATATAATATAAGTATCTTTTTTTTTTTTTTTTTTTTTTTTTTTTTTTTTTAAGGAGCCTTACTTTGCTAAAAGTATTTTATTAATTTCAGATACAGAGTCACAACATGAGTAATCCCTGCTGTTATAGATAGATAGGCTCTTCTAAATCTGGTTAACACCCAGATTAGTATTGCCAAAAGTTGTCTGTGCTTCTAGATATCACACAGAACAGATCCTTCCAAATTCAGTTAGCTACTAAGTCAGATTAGTATTGTAGACTTATGTGCACCTATTCTACCAATCTTTTCATACGCATGTTTTCTAATAGACTTACTTGCATCCTAGTTATTGATCTTTTCATATGCAGATTTTCTTCTCTAAATCAAACGTTAACTGGTATAACTATTAAAATCTATACTACTTCACCTAACTTGAGATTTCTGCTATACAGGTCTCCTGTTTATAGATCCTATTAAGATTTATTCATATAATGTTATATTTCTTAGATGCTCCATTACACTTCCAATATCTGAATGATATTAGTGCAATATGATTTACAGGGTTACAACCTCCAAAAACAAACAGAGTTTACTGTAAGTTAGATACAGATGTCTAGGTAATTATTCAATTCTGTTGACAGTAGGATTTAAACTCTAGACCTCTTGTATAGTGGTCTGATAACCTAACTACTACACTAAGATCACTAGATCTAAGAACTAAGTTAATTAACTACTCTTCTATTAACTAATTTAAACTTATTTAGCTACTTTTAGATACTCAAATATAATCTGCTACAGTAGCTATTTTTTTAAAAAAAATCTTGATTTGTAAATATACAAAGTCTTAGCTTCTAACTACTAAAAAACATAATAACTAAATACTAATAAATATAATTAATAATAATATAATATAAATTAAACTAAAATTTATTTTATAATAATACTATTAGTGTTATATAGCTAATGTAGATTAGTTTTATTTTTGTTATAACATCATGTATATTTTCTCTTAATAAATGAAGGGCAAGATCGCCTAAGAAAAAAAAAAATAATACTATTAGTATTAGTTTATTATTTTTTAATAATAACTTTTTATTAATATTTGTTTTGTATTTATTACTATAGTATAAACAATCTAGTCTCAATAAATAAAAATTTTAGTAGCTAAATTTGAAAATTTATTTTTATATATATTGTTACAGATAGCGTAGCCTTCTTAGTACACTATAAG